GGAAAGAGAAAACAAATATGGGCTAAACTGGGGTTTAGTACAGATTAGAGTACACAATGGTGTAAAACCGCTCAGAAGTCAGGAATATCATCATCCCTTTTACAGTTACATCTATTCATCACCGCAGTTTTTCTGTTTTTTTGGAAGAAGGACCACCCCCACTGAACAAGCATGTTCAGGGGCTTTGTACTGCCAGCCTGGCCAAGGACTGGTTAGTCTATATAGCAGAGTAAAATGACTGGTTGCTCTTTACTTCTCTTCTGGCATCTTTAGTGCCTAATGTAACTCCACCTTAAAAGGGCACCTTTTTCTGCCAGGCTAGCTTTGTGCTCTACCTTTTCCCCTGTAAAACCCAGTTTGTGCCCTTTTACTACTGGGAAGCCTTCTGGTACTGGCAGAGTTGTCAGCTGCACCCTGGGTGCAGAATCTATATTAAGGATCATTAGTGATTCACTAAAAGTGAAAATCATGTTATAGTGGTTGTGATTTTACACGGCATTTTACAAGGTCTGTTTTCTGCTGAGGTTACTTAGTAAGTGCAGAGTCTGGCCTCATGTTGAAGGGAAGAAACGTAAAGGTAGAACTAGACAACAGTAGAAATTAGGGAGGCAGTGAGTGTTGATTGAGGATGATGGGAAAAATTATTTCACGGGCTCTGAGTGAAATGTGTGATTCGTGGCAAAGTAGAGGATGTTCACCTATGGCAATATAAGCATGTGGCTCAGGGCAAGAGGAGCAGTGCTTTGCACCCTTTGTAAGAAGAAGTTGCAATGTAGGTAGAGAAGGAGATGAAGAAGGCATGAAGTTACTTTTTGCTTTGAATGAGATGACTATTGCTTTAAAACTGGTTAATTTAAAGTCAAAAAGCTAGTGTATCTTTATTGTTTGGAGCTGGAAACTTGCCTGAAATCCCAAGCTGGTGACAGAATGAGTGGGCGTCAAAGCCTGAAAGTATGGCTTAAAATAAACTTATCCTCTTTTCATCCATTCATCTCACCAAACAGATCCACAGGTGCAAAAACTGAGGCACGAAATGATTCAGTGCTTTACCTGAGACCACATCAGTGCTCACAGGGAGAAGAGGTCTCATTACTGAGCTGGGCTGACTAGAGACCTGGACTTCTAAGGGAGGGGAATCATGTTAGGAGCTTATCCCTCTCCAAGACTTCCCTCCATGGGGCTGCAGAAGCAGTGGTTAAGAAAGCCATCTCCAAGGTGTGACCTTGAGTGGGTTTATACCTGTGGAGCTGTAGAGGCCAGGTATTTAGGAGACCCCATAGTGTACACTGAGATGTGTCCTCTCACTCGGATGCGTCAAATTGTGGGGGGAGTCACTTAGTCACAGGCTGGGGGTTGGTTCCCTTGCCACCACCCTCCCCACGGTCAGGCACATGGATGATTCCGCACAAAAGGACTGAGTGGGGTGTGCCCACATGCCCTGTGCAACCCGGTCAGAATAGTCACCGCAGCTTCTCTGCGTGCCCAGGAGTCTCCTCCTCAGCTCACCTGGGTTCTTCTGTATGTGTGTGTGTCTTTCCCTCTTGCAGAAAATCTTCCCTCTGGCTTTTACTGTTCGTTTGAAGAAGGAGACTGTGGCTGGATGCAGGGCTCTTCTGCGTCCCATCCTTCTCCATGGCGGATTGGAAGCCCGGAGCACAACCGTATTCCTTCAATAGAAGGTGTGTGAGAGTAAATAGTAAGTGCAGAGAATGAACAGCGGAGAGCAAAAAAGATACAGAAATGGTGGGGGGAGGGAATGAAACACAAGGCACATTTTCCTATGTACTTAGATATTCGGCCTCCAGTGAAACAAAAGCCATCCTTCTACTCTAAGTGCTTTGAAAGCAAAAGACTATCCTGCTCACTTTCTGTCTTGAGGGTGTAGACTGGTACTTCAGGTCTCCACAACTGACACCAGATACTAAGCTTGACCCTCTCTAAACAACTTCACACCAAGTATTCATCTGCATGACCCTCCTCCATACTGATCTGATTTCTCCTTTCTGATTTTCCTGTTTACTCCCTCTGTTTCTCTGTTCTGCTGCTTTTTTCCCCTTCTCATTTCCTAATTTTTCTTCTCTTCACTCCATTGTCCCTTGTGTTCCACTTCTATGTGTAATTACTCTATACTTGGTTCCTCTAGCCAAATCCCAGTAGTTCATTTCTAATCCTTCTTGTACAAACCGTTGAAGGTTTATGCCTTGGTCATTAAACTGGTTGAGTTTTTGAACCGTTGAACTCTTGGTTGAGTTTTGGCAAACAGGCTACCTGACAGGATAAGCTTTTTCCTAATGCAATAATGTAAATCATTGGAGGCTTTTATTGCAAAGGCACAGAGCATCTAAAGGGATACAATAATAACAGCAGAGTTAATGGTGTATAACCCCAACATTACTTTAGAAAGTTAGATCCAGAGTTAAACATGACTAGTAAGATTCTCTACTTTTGTGGGAACTGGTATAGGCTACAGTGCATTTATGTCATCTGATGGCTCAGCTGACAGTATTACAGACCACAAAGTGATGGACGCATAAGTAAACATGAAGGCAAAGAGCCAGAAAGAGGGTACTGTGGGGAGCTGGCAATAAAGTGCCGCTGATTCATAATTTGTCTGTACTGTAGAGGCAATTTCAATGAAAGCCCAAATAACTGGGCTCTAAGTGGTGATAGCCTCCTGAGCTGGAGGCCAGAGCTGAAATAGTGCAAATACGCACCTTTTCATGCAGAGCTGCCAAGGAAAAACCCTAGTGTTACCACTGCCCTTGTTCCTCTTGTTACAACAGATGATTAAAGGAGCAAAGAGGCCTCCAGCTGTATTAATATTACTCTGGTGGTATTTTCTCATAGTTGTATTTTGGTTTTGGATTAGCCAAGATAAATATTCTCTTCCAAGTTACTTTTCATTCATGAAAGATACCTTTTGTTATTCAGCCTTACAAGGAGGATGAATCTGACGTCATGGAGGAACAGAAGATAGCTGCAGGGGGGAGGTAGACAGACTTCTGAAGTGTATTTGCTGAGTATGTTTGTTGGGTGAAGCTGGATCCCTAATAAATTGAAAAAGCCTTCTGCTCTCTGGGATTTTCCTGTAGTAGGAGCCAGCTAACATAGGTTCTGGGGAGGTTTCACAAAGCCTGAAACCAAAAGGTGAGTGCTGCAGTTTGACCTTCTTCCTGCTCTTTTTTCCAGGTTGCGCACTCCTCCTTAACACCAGCAAAGCACCAGCAGTAGCAAACACTGTCATGACCAGCACTGCATTTCCAGCTCCTTTGAGGAACTCTCCCTGCGAGGCAAGTCCTAATGTTCTCTTTTCTTTTGCAATTTGCAGAGCTTTTTTGTATGTCTGACTCTAGTTTTCAAATGTAGGCACTAGGTTAGTAGCACAGCAACCACTTTCTTTGATGGCTTATCTATAAAATATACTTACTTAATGCCCCTGCGTGCAGGGGAAAAATACAGTTAGCTGCTTGAAATGCCACGAAATGTGTTCTGAAAAGCTTGGCATATCTTGTCCTCATTGAATGGCCTCACATGATGTATTACAATCTTCTTAATTAGGTGTATATGCTGTAAGGGTAGGGCAGCCAGCATTACATAAATGCAAAGAGGAAGAAGCTTACTGCACAAACAAACATTGTATTTGCAAGATCCAAGAAAGAATTGGCTTCAGGACTGCCCCGAGCTGCTCAGAAAATACGGTGCGTGCTTTCTCTAGCACAGCTGGGATTTGAGCTGGCAGGTCTTCATCATGCTGCACCTCAAACATACCAATCCTCGTGTAGGCCTTGTTCATAGGTACGCTGAAGTTAACAGCAGCAGAGATAAATTTATGTAGAATGGAACCAGGTTCTTATTCAAGCAGAAAAGCTGTTGACAGTCGTAAGACATCAACTTAAGCAAGTATATCAAGGCTTGCCAACCCTGCACAAATGGTTGTCATTTCTGAGTCAGTTGTACTTAACCCTTGAACTGCAGATTACAGAAAGAGGATCTGTCTGCATCTTTTTAGTCTATAGCCCCACAGGTTATATTGTCACTGATAGCATTTATTAATGACTTAGGACTTTGAGCCATGGCTAATGACTTAGGGCATTTCACATCTTGAATGGTCACCCTGAAATGTCACACAAGCTCCTGAATCCTTGTATTGGGTGTGGCTGAGATGAAGTTAGTTATCCCCGTAGCAGCCCTCATAGTGCTGGGCTTTGTATTGATAGCTGGAAGGGTGCTGGTAACACACCAGTGTTTTGGCTGCTGCTGAGCGGTGCTCGCAGCATCAAGGCTGTCTCTTGGGAGGGGACATAGCCAGGACAGCTGACCCAGACTGACCAAAGGGATATTCCATACCATGTGATGTCTGCTCAGTAACAAAAGCTAGGAGGAAGGAGGAGGAGTGGGGGGCATTCGTTGTTTCTATGGCGCTTGTCCTCCGGAGCAACTGCTACGCCTGCTGGGGCCCTGCTTCCCAGGGGGTGGCTGGACATCACTGCTGATGGGAAGTAGAGAATGAAATCTGTTTGTTTTCACTTTGCTTTTCTGTGCACGGCCTTTGCTTCTGCTTTCATTAAACTCTCCTTATCTCGACCCACAAGCCTTTCATTGTATTTCCTCTCCCCTGTCCAGCTGAGGAGGGGGACTGATAGAGCAGCTTTGGTGGGCACCTGGCGTCCAGCCAGCGTTAACCCACCACAATCCTGGAGCAGAGGGATTTGGGAAAATTGATCCTAACAAAGCATAGTTTGGTGTTTGCTGGTTGAGCACTGAACAGACAAAAGAATCAGATTCTCCCTGTTCCACTGATCTTAAAATGCAGAAAGGACAAGAAGGGATGTGTTAGGAAGTTCTCTGGAATGAAAGTACATAGAAGATGGTGTTTCTTTGGCTTAAAGTTCAGTTTGGTTCACTTCTGTTGGATATCACAGTTTATATAGCAAAGTGCATCTGATTTTGCTTTCTTGATATATTCATGCCCTCCTTCTTTAGGAAATACATTCTACCTTGTTTTTCCTCCCTTCTGTGACAAAGGCGTATGCAGGTTCTGAATATTTTAAGACCTTGTTCTGCTATGGACCAGCAAGAGCGAGTGTTTTTCATAATCCACCTGACACAGGAATCGGAGTGAATGATTTCCCAATATGTGTGTATTTTTTTCTTGTGTATACAACAGTGCAAATAATTAAACTTGCCGTCGGGGGAGAAGCTGCCATGTATTTCATCTGCTCACATGCCATCCCACCTCCGTCACTCCCCTTGGCACTTAAAAGGCATCCGGACGCATCCAGCATTGCAGCTGTCGGTAATAAAGAGTGAAGGAGTTTGGCAAGGGTTTTGTCTCTTGCCTTTTCATATAGTGTAAAAGCTTCTCTTCTCAATGAGCCCCTGGTGGCTTCAAATTCTATTTTACTGGAACAATCTGTCTGTGAGCAGAATAATTTAATTCCACTTTTCAGCACAACACAAGAGGAGAAAGGAGATATTCCCCCCCCACGCACTTATTCCTCCAATAGGTGCCAACAAACTTCCTTATAGTGAAATTATAGTCAGAAAAGAGATTGTGAAAATACCATAATGCTGTCCTGTATTTATTCACTCTCAATCACTTCCCTATTGAACTGGCTCAAGTTCAGGCACTAAAAGATGAGTTTTCTTGTACCTGTCACTGCTGACAGCTCCACCTGGCATGTCACAACCAGGACAGATTCTCTGGCAACTGAAATCCCACTGACAAAACTCACTCATGATTCATGTGGCAAAGGGATCTCAGCAAGTGTGTATGAATTAGACCCATTTATTCTTCCACAGTCAGAGCAAGCCATAAACCTGCCATCCCTCTTGTATTTGATCCAGCTCACATGCTCCTTTAGATATCTGCTTGCTCTCCTTGCGTGTTCACTTACATAGTGGCTACTTCTGACAGCTGATTCCAGTACACCAGAGAGATTTGGCTCAGATTCACGTCCTGCACGTGAATTATATATATATTAATGATGGAGGCTGTCCTTAAGCCTGTCATTTAACATCCTTCCTCCTCCTTGTATGCCATGTCTACCCTGGTATCAACATGCCGAGCTCAGCTGAACTCCTGGGGATGAGACTGAATGTGCTGCCCTGGCTGCTCAGCTCACTCACCTCTCCTGGGCGAGTGGAGCTTACCCCTGCTCTGTGCACAGGACCTCGTCAAAGGCCACAACCTGCAAGCCCTGAGAAGCAACAAGGAGGCCAGCAGACATCCCCAGTTTGCTGCTCTTGACTCCTCTCTCTTCTCTTCCTGCTACAGGGAAGCTCTGGGGCACTATTAGACCCACTATTTACTGAAGCTGCTTATTTTTCCCCTTGTCCCTTAATTTGCTTTTATTTTATCCAATCATGTTAGACAATTACACCCACCATAGCAAATGCTGACACCCTGCTTTTTAGCCCGAGGTGTACATAGGAATTAATTACTTCAGCCTCAGCATGAGGAGCATTACCTGCTGCAGTACTGTTTGCCAGGCTGGAGGATTCTGGTTTTTGGCCAGAATGTCCATGGAACCAGGACTCAATGCTGGTAAGGAAGCAGTCAAGCAGTCCACAGTGGGTGCCAGCCACAAAGAGTTTGCTAATGCTTCAGGCTTGTTTTTTCTCCCTCACCCTGGCTGTTTAATCCTCCACTGTGGTAGACTGGCAATGGAGACGACTAAACAGTCTGAGAAAATGACCGCTAACACCCTGGACACTGCTGGGGTGGCCTGGTCCAAACACCTTCCCTGCTGAGGTTCTGGGCAGCTGTTTGCAGTAGTGCTGACACTCGCATTTGGAGACTCCAGAACCTGGATAATCTTTGGCACACGTATTGCCGCTAAGTGCAGGACAAGCGCGACCCTCCATCTTTGTCCTCTCCCCAGCTTGAGGTTGGTCACCAGGAGCGTGCTGAGCTGCTTGCAGGCTGTGCTCCCCTAGCATCTCCCATGCCCTGTGGGAGGCTTCTCGTTAACTCAGAAAGGGAAAAACCAGCCTGACCTACTCTGTTGTGCCCCACATGCATCAAAAGATGAGAAGAAGGTACAAATGCATGCAGGAGATACAGTAATAAACACAGCCTGTACTTTCCCACACATGTTTGGGATTGGCCCTAATGTGCCTTGCACTTTGTGTATAGCTTTGTATTGCACTTTGCTCCTGTTTGTTTTGAGCAGCTTTATATTTTTATTTTCTTTGTTCTTCAGTGCTTTTGGCAGGTCAGAGCGGTTAGTTTGTGATGCTGCCCTTTGTTCTTGGTTCAGTTAGTTTTTCCTCTTTCTTTTTGTTGTTTTATTAAATCTTGGCTAGAGTATCCTGGCTTCAAAGAATCTCTCCTGTTTGCAGTCCAGACAGTCTTTGTTTTCTTTTTCATGTTGCACATTCGGTAGGGTCCTTTGCCTATTGACCCCATTAACTGTGTGTTTAAAACCCAGTTTATGTGGTAGAGGGAAGCTGTGGCACTTACACTGAATCTTGGGGGAATGCAGGAAGTGGTACGTGTAGCCTATGAGAAGATGCTCCGTTACCCTGAAGTAGCCAGAAAGGGGAGATGCAACAAAAAGCTCTGGAAATGCTTCAGGAACCAAAAGGAGTCACAGTAATCAAGAGTGAAAATCTTTTAACCCGCGTGTAAAAGTTTATTGGAAACAAAGCACGTGTAATTGAGCATAGGAATGCACATAAAGTGCAAAGAATTAATCCAAACGGTGGCCTGATTTAAAGGCAGAAATTGTAGAGCTTGAGCAATAAAGCACAGCATTATTCACCCTTTCTCTTCACACTGTGATTCCCCTCCTCTGAGTGGGAATCAGTTGGCCTGCACAAGGCCGACAGGGCAAAGAGGGTCATGGGGTGGTTAGACATTTCCTCATTTTGAAGAAGAAATCCATATGCATGTCATCAGTAGCTGTACTGCTGTCTGGGAATCTGGGAGATCACATTGCAATTAAAGTCCAAGGGAAGTGCTGTCATCTCAGACACCACCCATGGCAAAACTAAATTGCTTTGCCACAGTTGGTAGCCCCTAGGTGTGCACAGTTTCCAGACTATAATGGCAACCTACTTCTCAGTACTTTGCAAAGGTGTCAGAGAGCTGACACAAGAGCATTGCACGTGTTCAGGGAGCGCTCACCTTCATGTGGAAGCTGGAGACTCAGTTCTGGCCCCCCATGTCTGGACAGCAAGGCAATCCCCTCTCCCTCAGTCCTAGCATTGTTGCTGTACAAGTGCAGAGTCACGTACGTTGACTTGCTTTTCATCCCGTTTTTCAGAGATGCTCCCTGCCATCTGC